AAGTTTCAGGAGTCAGGCTGGCTTGTGGTCAATCCCCTACCTTATCCCCAGGGGACAGTTGGTCCTGGGGAGGCCAAGACAGGCTTGCAGTTCAGGGCATCCTAGGTCAGCCTCTACATCCCCAGTGGAGCACAGATGGGACTTGGGCCTGGGCAGTGCCTCAGGCCAAGAGGAAGACTCTAAGGGCTGCACACCCTGGTCCCATGTCTTCTGGTTTGGTTGGAACTTCACTGCCACACTTGGACTGACCCTGCAGGTTGTTAATCCCCTACTCTGAAACTTTCTTCTTTGCCAAAACTCAAGTCTGATTTTTGCTATAACAAGCTCAGAATAAATAGCCTTGATGCTTTCATTTGGTTAATCTTCATTTATGTTCACAGTTATTTGTTAAAATCTATCTGAATCATCCTAACCATAAATGAAATAACTTATTTCAGTTGGGAATGGAAAAAGTCAGAAATGGCCGAGGGAGAGTTCTGTCACAGACTGAAGACCCTATCTGCAGGATCTTAAGAGGGGACAGTTGCCCATTTTAAGTAATCAGGTCCGCTTAGGGAGCACACAACCCTGTGGGGTGACAAAGTCACCACCTGCAGCTGCATTGCACAATGCCCTTTCCTTGATCACTGTCCTCCATTAAGCCATTTATTTAAAAACTCACTATGATGCCACATCTTAGAACATTCAGTTCTCACGTGCCCATCAGAACTCTTATTCTGACAGCTCAGCTCCTCAGCTCCACTTGAATAATGCTCAAATGAGCATTAGAGGGGGTTAATTTCTCCCCTGTCTCCCAAAGCATGTCCAGGATAAGCAATGTGCAATTTTGTGTAAACTTTAATCTGGGCAGCATTTATACAGTTAGTTCAGGCTAGTTTAGTCTGGCTCCTTTGAGATGACTTCTCTGGAAAAATTACTACACAGCAAAGCATACCACACTTGCAAATGATTGGCTTGGTTCCTTAAGTACTTTTTTATTAATTATAACATTAACAGATAATTGCAGAAAATACAAAATAAAAAAAAATTTTTTTTTAAATCACCCATTCTTATACCATTCAGAGAAATCAATGTTCTATCAAAATATATTTCTTGGGGGGATTTTATTTTCTTGTTTATTTATTTATGTATTTTTGGTGGAAAGTTGTGGCTGGGGAGGGAAATTCACCTGAGTAAAATTAAACTGACAGGATCTTTAACTGAATAACTTTGTTTTTCCAAATAAAAACTTTCTGAGATCCCAACTGATAATATATTTTTCAAGGTACTTTCTGAAGTGTCTGAGAGGAGGGCTCTCTTTCCTGACTGATGGAACCATCTGTGCTTGATTTACTTGCTGGCCCCTTTACCTACAGGAACACACCCAGGCTTGTCAGCAGAAGGTTATTTCTCACTCTTGAAAGTACTAGACATCAATAATGCACTCCACTCACCTTGGTAGTAGGCCTGAGAGATCCCACACTTGTGCCCTTAGCATAGAGTCTCATTTCCACTGGAGCAGAGTGACTCAAGTGACTGGATCTGAGTACTATGTACAGTGGGAGTTTAAGAAGAATCCAGCTGGGTGTGGTGATGCACGCCTTTAGTCTTAGCACTTGGAGGCAGAGGCAGGTGAATCTGAGCTGGAGGCCAGGCTGGTCTCCATAGTAAATCAAATCCAGGTCAAAAAAAAAAAAAAAAGAAGAGAGAAGAGTCCAGACAAGAGTTTTCTGCTTTGCCCGGGGCACCATGAAGACAGAGCAATAATTATAGTGACTGAAGTGTGGGCAGTGGGACCAGATGGCCTGAGATTATATCCTGCCCTTCTGAAAAGGTCACTAGCTATGACACAGGCAAGTTACATATCATCTGTATGCCATGGTTTCTTCCTTTTGAAAAAGGAGATAACCAGGCTTGGTAGTGCAGGCCTGTAGAGCTACTTGAAAAGCTGAGGTAAGAGGATCACTTGAGTGCATGAGTTTTCAACCAGCTTAGACAACACAGTGAGATCCCAGTCTCAGAGCCGGGGAGGGAAGGAGAGAGGGAGAAAGACAGAGAGAAGAAGACAGGGAGGGAGGGAGGGAGGGAGGAAGAAAGAAGGGGGGAGGGAAAGAGAGAGAGAGACTTAATTTGTGGGGTTGTAATAAGATTAAGTAAGTAATACACAAAAAAGCACTTTTAAAAGGTACCCAAGCCAGGTGTGGTGGCACACGTCTTTAATCCCAGCACTCCGGGAAGCAGAGGCAGGCAAATCTCTGTGAGACTGAGGCCAACCGGGTCTACATAGTGAGTTTCAGGCCAGCTGAGGCTACAGGGAGACCATGTCTCAAAAAATAAATAAATAAATAAAAATTTTAAAAGGTGCCCATAAAATAATAATAAATAAAATATTTTTAAAATAAAAAATAGCTGGACACGGTGGCACACGCCTTTAATCCCAGCACTTAGGAGGCAGAGGCAGGTGGATCTTTGCGAGTTCAAGGCCAGCCTGGTCTACATAGTGAGTTCCAGGACAGCTGTGGCTACAAGGAGACCCTGTCTCAAAAGAGGACAAAAAAGAAAGAGAAAGAAAGAAAGAAAGAAAGAAAGAAAGAAAGAAAGAAAGAAAGAAAGAAAAAAAGAAAGAAAAAGCAGGCTGAGCAGGGGCCAGGGGAGCAAGCCAGTAAGCAAGCAGCGTTCCTCCATGGCCTGTGTTCCAGCTCCTGCCTCTAGGTTCCTGCTCTGAGTTCCTACCTTGGGCTCCCTCAGTGATGAACTGTGACCTGGGAGATGTAAGTCGAATAAACCCTTTCCTCCCCAAGTTGGTGTTGGTCAGAGTATTTTCTCACAGCAATGGGGAAACAGACTAGAACAGAGAGGAAGGGTGGAGCCTTACCCTAAACCACCAGGAGTGCACATTGGGAGGCTCACTAGGAATGTGACCAAGGAGCAGATCATAGAGATATTTTCCACCTATGGATCTTTGCGAGTTCAAGGCCAGCCTGGTTTACATAGTGAGTTCCAGGACAGCTGGGGCTACAAGGAGACCCTGTCTCAAAAAAGACCAAAAAATAAAAGTAAAAAATAAAAAGGTACCCATGATAAGCAGTACATAAATGAGAACTAACCTATGTCTCCAGACTATTTATAATGAGGGTATTAAAGACCAAAACACGCTCTTCTTAAGCTAGCTTTGTGGGCGTGGGGGTGGGGGCAGTTGAAGCTGAGAATCCTACTGGTGCAATGTTTTCAAGTCACTTCAGACAAACCAGATGGAATCAACCTATCTCACAAAAGCTGCTAGGTTTAAAGTTTACACTCACTGTTGCAAACTACTTATCAGGAACCTGTTCCAAGGGGGTAGGGCAGAATCTCCTGCTGGTCAAATTACTCATCAGAACTAAAAGAGAATAGCCAACGTTAATATATTTCCCAGCCTCTTGGGCTCTTAAAACATCTTATTTTAGAGCATATAGAAAGAGCTAACCTGTATAAACATTCTGGCTTTAAAAGTCTCCAGAAGTGATTTATTTGTTCAAATAGCCATCAAAAACTTTAAAATACATAGCAAGCCAGGTGATGTGGCAACACACCTGTAATCTTAGCAATGGGGAGCAAGAGGCAGAGGAATCTCTGTGATGTTGAGGCTAGCCTGGTCTACATAAGGGAGTTCCAGACCAGTCACAGCTACAAAGGGAGACCTTGTCTCAAAAACAAACAAAAATATACAACTGTTAAAAAAAAGGAAGAAAGAAAAATGTACAACAGTTTGATACTGTGGTTACCCACATAATCTCAGTAAATAAAGGCAAGAGAATTACAAGTTTGTGGCTAGCCTGAGCTACATGCAAGTCCTTGCTTAAATAAACAAACCTCTTGAGTTTTACACATTCAGTGGAACAGAATTCCAATTTCCTGAAATCAAGGTAGTTAAGGCTTCCAGCTATATCTCTAGTTCTCAGTCAGTTCAACCTAACCACAGCTGCAGGTTTTCTTTGTGTGCAAGCTCCTGAGCATTAGACTTGGATAGCAACAAGTGCAGCAGCCCTGGGCAGAGCATGAGGCACAGCATTTGCCAACGGCAGCCAAGACAGGCTCAGGTCATCTTTAAAACAAACTCAGGTTTGCATCTAGAAATGCTCATCACAGAAACCCAAACAACTAAACAACAGCAATCAAACATACAAGTCAAGCCAACTGCCCTAGCTCCATATTCATAAAAGTCAAATATCACATGAAAAGACTTCAAAAAACAATCCTTAGACCGTTAAAAATATTTCCACTAAGAAAGTCTTTTAAGGGGACTAGAAAGACAGCTCAGTGGTTAAGAACATTTCCTGGCAGAGAACCTAGGTTCTGTTTCCAGCATTCACATGGTGGCTCACAACTGGCTGTAGCTCCAGTTTCAGAGAATCTGACTCCCTCCTCTGGCCTCCACCGGTACCAGGCACACATGTGGTACATACAAATATGCACACAGGCATACACATAAAATAAAATTTCATAATCTTTTTTTAAAAGTCTATGAGTAAACTAAGGTTTTTTAAAAAAACAAACATGAATCATATGTGTGTGTATTTCTAGGGAAATCATTCAGACCTAAAAACGCTGTTGCCTTTCCTCTAGATAAGTTTAAAAAACAAAAAAAATAGATGTGAAACAGAACAATTTGAAGCTCTGGTACTAAGACCTTTGGGCCCCTGAGGTCAGAAGTCTCGGTTCGCCTGGCAAATCTGTCTTTTTCCTGCAGGACCTCAGGAAATTCCTTTTTCCTTTCAGAGTTTAACCCAACACAAAGAGGTGACAACACTTGGTGCCTTGCGTAGGCCAGGACTAAAGACCACAAAAGAGGTTGCATTTCCCCAGGGTAGAAAACATCCCACCTTCTTTCGGCCTGCAAAGTGCCAGCTACTGCTTTATTTTAATCTTCATATTTTCAATACTGAGCAACCCTACCCCAAAGCTGGACCACCAAGAGATCACTGAAGACAGAGAAACCAGAGAGTAAGCCGTGCCCCCGGGGAGTCCTTCGAGCCACTTACAAACCGGGTCTTCCATCTTCAAAGGTCTTTTCAAGCGGATGTTGGCGGGGACCGTCTTCTCAATCAGTTCCTCGATGCTCTAAAATTAAAACACGACAAGCAGAGTGAAGGAGCCCACCTCAGTGTTTTGCACCTACAGAGGCTGGTGGAAACCTCATTTAAATCGTCTAATTAGGGTTTCTTTTAAAGGGAAACTTTAGGGAAAGTGTGCAGAGTAGAAATCTCTTGAAGAAAATGATGGAGCGGGGTGGTGAATCAGCCACTCTAGGTTGGATTCCATTCTGCAACTGGAGCTAACTGGATAAACACACTTTTAGTGGAGGGTCTTCCTGCAAGGTTAGGGCTCATCTGCAAGACTACTCACAGTTTCGAAACACTTAGGATACAGCAGAAAAGTAGAGGAGGAGGCACGGAGATCAAGCGTGAGTCTCTTCCCCGCCGGGCCGGGACCCAAGGGAGAGGATTGGGGTGGGAGCCCGAGGCCCCGCGGGCAGAGCCGGGCAGGGTGGAGGGTGGAGGGCCTTACCGCCAGCCCCAGGGCTTCCAGCATCTCCCTCCGGTCTTTGTCCCCGGGGCCGATGTGTCTCCGCGCGAAGTCATCGTGCCTGGGCAGGAGGCGCTCGAGGAGACGCGGGGATCCCGCCGCGCCCTGGTCCCCGCCGCCCCCGCCGCTGCGGTCCCGGCCCGGCTGCGCCCAACTCCAGCCCGCGCCCCGAGCCAGGCGGCGGCCGCCCCCGACTCGGCGGCCCAGGCGCACACCCCACGCCCCGGCACACAGCTGCATGGACGCTGCAGCCTGGCCCCAGCCCACGCGGGTCAGCGGCGCTCTCCGGCCCTCCTCTGGCCTCCGTGCCCCGTGAGCGGCGGCGCCCGGCCTGGAGCCCTTCCCGAAGAGCGCGGGCGGGACAGAAGGATGATGGACGCTCTCGGACAATGAATGGGTGAGTGCTTGGCTCGGCCACCCTCACTCCAGGGCAAACTTCTTCCTCCACCCTAGGCACCTGCTCCGCACACTTTAAGCGTCTCCCGAAGGCGGGCGGTGGGATGGGGCCAGGAAACCCTTAGCCAATGGGAGTGGATGGTGGGGCGGGGCGAGTCAGCCCCCGCCTTCCCTCTCTCCCCACTTCTCTCCCATCTTCAGCTCCTGGGGAAGTCTGTCCCCTAGCTGGGAGCCTGCAGTCCTCAGCCACGCTTCTTTCCTAGGGTTCGAGTTGCTGATGTGGGATTCGGGATGCCCTGTGGGTCCATTGGTAGCGTGTGGGGCCCTCACTGACGTGGGACCAGGGTCGACAGCCCTAAGACTGGCGAAGTTCCTGGACAAATCCTCTGACAGGGAAGATGAGTCTTACAGAGAAGGAAGACTCCAAGAGTTAGTTAGTGTCCATTCACTAATTTTAGGGTATCTTTTCCTGTCACATCTCATGAGAGCCATTATGGGAAAACGAAGTTTCTTTTATTAAGGATTGTGAGCAAAGAACTCACCCTCTAAAATCTCATACTGACTCACTTTAAAAAATATTTGAGAAGCAGTGTGATGGGGATAAAACCCTGGGCTGCTACAAGCAAGGGCTCTTGCTACACTGAGCTACTCCCCAGCCTCTATCTTTCTTTAGATAAATGGATCAATCTCTTCCCTCCTTCCCTTCCCCTTCACCCTCTACCCGTCCAGTGGGTTCGTAGGCCTCTATTCTTGGCATTCAGTCCTCCTTTACTTAAAATATTTGAATGTACTGTTGTTACGTTGAATGAATTTTGTTTGTTTTCCTGAATAAAAGGCCTAAACAAAGATTAATTGAAGCCAAAGTATTTTCAGGATACTGACCCCCCCCCAACACAGGAGCTTGAGATTAGCTATCTGACCTTTATTCATAAATTTGATGCTGACCTTATCATTAGAGGGAAATAGAAAAATGATGGTCTTGAGAAATATTTGGGAAACAGTCTTGACTAAATTATCAGATGATTAAAGTGTATTTTGCAGCAGGTCTTTGCTAGAGCAAATAGTTTCTATTAGGTTGTTGGGGGAGGGGGGTACGAGATGCCTAAAAAGATCTGTAGGAAGCTCCAACTACTGAATACCCCAAAGAGTTTGTAGAATGAAATGACAGGTCAGAAAGCTAGTGGATTTTGAATGCTCTAAAAGAACCTCTTAATTTGTGTTGCTACAGGAAGAATATATTTAACAAACAACTCAATGTTTGATTCTATAGGTTGTCAAATTTCCACACAATTTGAACTCATAGCTTTATTTGGTTTCCTATCTGAACATCTGACACTCATCCAAAATCTTTAGACTTAAGAGTAGGGACATTTTGATAATTTGGAGTGTATGTGATTATTTTGAACAAGCAAATTCCAGAGTCAAGCTGTATGTAGTAGTGTACACATATTATTTCAGTAACTAGAAGGTGAAGGCAGAAGGACCAGGAGTTCAAGGTCGACCTTGGCTCCATAGGAAATTCATGGACAGACTAGACTACATGAGGCCTTGTGTCACCGCCCCTCACCCATTTTTGGTGGGAGGTGGGGTATGGTGGTGTTGTTCCCTGAGTCTTCCTGGCCAGCTGAACCAGTTCTTCCTTCCTTCCATCACAAACTGGTCTTGCCTTCCTCCAAGATCTTATAATGAGTTCACCATAAAGACATAACCCTGTAAAAACCTGTCAACATTTCTTGACTTCCAGACCTGTAGCCAGAGTCAGCATACTTCCTTAGCATACTCCAGGAAGATGAATAAGATACCTGATACCAGACAAGAAGCATACACAGGGACCAGGCATGGTGGTGCATGCCTTTAGTCCCAGCACTCAGGAGGTAGAGGCAGTCGAATCCCTGTGAGTTCAAGGTCAGCCTGGTCAAAATAGTGAGTTCCAGGCCATCTGGGGCTACAGGGAAACCCTGTCTCAAAAAGACCAAAAAAGAAGGAGGAGAAGGAGGCGGAAGAGGAAGAGGAAGAGGAGGAGGAGGAGGAGGAGGAAGAGGAAGTATACACAGGGAAAGAATTACAAGATGCTAATATATATCATCAAGATTTCTACTTGATGTTGACTTCTAGACCAAGTTGAAAAGGAAGCTATATGGAAATTATTGACATTTGCTTCTGACTTCAGAGATTCTGTGTATGTGCTATAGTTAATAGTCAACAGAATCTAGAATCATTTAGAACAAAAACCTCTGGGCATGCCTGTGGGAGGTTATCATGAAGAACTGAAGTGGGAAGACCTGCCTGCCCTCTGTGTGTGGCACCCATTTGCAGGACTAATATCCTGGACTGTATAAAATGGAGAGAGTGGGCTGAGCACAAACATGCATACTATTAATGCCTTCTTCTTCTGACTGCAGATGTAGTGACCAGCTGCTTCAAGTTCTTGATGTTCACACTTCTGTACCATGATGCACTATAACCTGGAACTGTGAGCCAAAGAAACTCTTTCAGAGTAGTTTGTCACAGCAACAGGAAAAGAAAATAAGACAGTAAAAAAGTTCAGTCAGCTGAGTGGTTCTCACAGTCTGCTGAGTTGGGTGATGAAACTTGATACAGCAATAGTCTTTTCCTTAAATTAGGTTAATATTGATGAGTGCTATGGAACATACCTTTAATTCCTGTGAGTTTGAGGCCAGCCTGGTCTATATATCAAGTTCCAGGCCAGCTAGAGCTATATAGTGAGAACCTGTCTCAAAAAAAAAGAAAGAAAAAAAAAAGGTTAACATAATTCAACTTTCTTGGTATATTGGGAAGGGAGGATAAGAAATTGGAGTAGGGGCTGAGGGGCCGGAGAGATGGCTTGGTGGTTAAAAACATTGGTTGTTCTTGCAGAAGACCCGGGTTCAAATCCAAGCACCCACACGGCAGCTAACAACTGTCCATAACTCCAGTCCCAGGAGATCCGACAGCCTCTTCTGTCCTCCTCGGGCATTGTATGACACAGGCGCACTGACCCACATGCAGGCAATGCATGCATACACATAAAATAAAGATAATAAATTTTAAAAATTAAAAAAAAAAGAAATTGGAGTAGATTTACCATGTGCAGCCACCTTCCACCCTCTCATTGTGTTGCCCAGGAGTACGCGGAAGACAGTCCTTCCACTATAGCAGTGGGCAGTCCGTTGGTAAGAGGAGCACCAGTGTTTTCGGAAAGCTCTGTGCTTGTCCTCATCAAGTGTGAGAACACAGTGTGAGGAGACAATGTAAGATGGCACTGATGAAATCAGCTCCTGTACTACAGTTATAGTAATGCAATCCCAGAGTAGTAGAAGCCAGTAGCAGCACTAGCCAACAAAGAAAGGTGGATAACACCACCCTAAAAGGCAGTGAATCAGATGCTCTCTAGGGTTGGACAGTCTGCTAAAGTCTTACTTGATCTGATAAACCAAGATTTGATGTGTCACCAAAATAGACAGACTCAGCCTCTCAATCAGCTCTGTGATTTGAACCATGAAACAGTACATAGACACAGCCTCTTGGATGAAAGGGATCTAGAAAAAAAGATTCTGCTACAGGTATATACTGTAAACTTTGTTCCTGACCCCTCACCCCCACCCAGTGTACCTGTGGCCACTTACCAAGGAGAGGAAAACATCTAACCTGTGGCGGATTATTATTACCTGGTTCTATGATGATGTTAAACCTGCAAGTCTGAAACAGACCACCATTCACAGTGAGATGTTATGAAAGACAACTTATCAGTGTAGATGGGGGACTTCCAGTTTCAGTTCCTGCTTTTACAGAGGTCATCACACCCACCCTTACATAAGAAAAAACTAGACACACTAAAAAATTAGTTTTGTGTCTTAAAAAGTTTTATTTAATATTTATTTTATATTATTTATAGTCTCAGAAACTTGATCACTGTGAGAGAGAAGGAGAGAGAAAGAGAGATGAGAGAGAGAGAGAAAGAGAGAGAGAAAGAGAGAGAGAGAGAGAGAGGGAGAGAGAGAGAGAGGAGGATCGGGGAGTATATGTGCTACCATGTATGTGTAGAGGTCAGAGGACAACTCTATAGAGTTGAATTATCGCCTCTGCCTTTCAGGGGATAGAACCTAGGTTACTAGGCTTATGCAACAAGTTCCTTTACCTGCTGAACCATCTTGCCAACCTGAAAAATCAATTTTCTTGAACACTTCGAAAGGCTGAGATTCTAGAGCAAAACACCACCATAATTTCTGGAAAGATAAGGTCAATTCAAAGAAACAGTGAAGATCTGCTTAACCAAAGTAGAAGCTGTTGGAACTGTGAACTTATGAGAATGTGTAAATGATACTTTTGATGAATTACTGGTCTGTCTGAGGGGAAGAAGTCCCTCTGACTTTACTTCTAGGGGCCATAGTAGGTTTCCAGGTTGAATATCAAGAAACATCTCACATGGCATTGGCAGGGAAAGATGGAGAACCATTGTGGAAAATGCACAGGACTTTTCCCTCCTGCCTTTTCCCCTCCTCTCCAACTCCCCTGACCCCAACACTTGTGTTTGTTTTTCTTTTGAGACTAGGTCTCATGTAGACCTGTCTGACCTCAGATTCCTTATGTAGCCTGGTCTTCAACTCCTGATACTCTTTCCATCCCTCAAGCACTGGAATTATAAGCTTGTTTCACCACACTCAGTTTGCCAAGAACTTTTTTTTTTGTTTGTTTTGTTGTCCTTGTTTTTGTTTTTGTTTTTAGAGGGGTCTTCCTACTTAGTTCTAACTGGCCTGGACCTGACTGTGTAGACCAGGCTGACTTAAAATTCACAGAGTTCCACTTGCCTCTGCTTCCAATTGCAGGGATTAAAGGCATGCACCACTATGCCTGGCTCAGAATTTTCTTCATAACAAAAACCTACTCTCTAGAAAGGATTTTGCCAATTTTATTCAAACTGGGGACCCGAATTTCCCTCACTCTAGTCTTCTCCAGCCCTAATGGAAGATATAGAATCAATCGGGTGAGTGCTTAGAGGAAATCAATGAAAAACTCTGCCGCCAAGGAAAGACTAAGAGGCAGAACCAAAAAGTTCTGGCAGTACAGAAACATGTGGAAAGT